TTTTGATGATTTATTTCATGATAAGATCCAATATGAAACATCGAATTGAATCCAGAGATGCAGAAAGAATCCGATTGACAGAGACAAATTGGTTGAACATGGTGTCATTAAAATGATATTTGTAGATAAATTATTGTCATACAAAAATCTGCATTCAATTATGTTTCGCTATTAAAAGGCGAAATGCATTCATATTGAGCAAATGACCGAAGAAACGAAATTAATTTTTGGGGAAAAACTAACGAAATACCATTTTACAACGCGGCAGAATTGTCGCTTGTTTTCACTTCAACTCAACTAGATGTTCGTCGCTTCTTTTGAATTTGATAGAAATATCAATCTACGGACATATTTGTTGCGGGTTGGCATTTCATATGTTAATAACAGCGACGGAGAAACTTTGTTTTCAATTCATTTATATTTCAGTCAGCCCTCAGAGAATGCGAATTGTGAATCGCAGTACTAATTAAATTCATTTACACATGCTCCAAATACAAAACGCAAAACAACCAAATGCAGAAAATAATGAAAACGTACAGAAGAAATCTGTTTTGATATGATGCGGATTGCAGCTTTCAACCGTTTGTGTCATATGACAAAGTGTTATAATTTATTTCGTGTAGATGCAGCAGCAGTATCAGTTCAGTTGATAATCTTTTGCCAGCGAACAATTCACTTTTAATCAATTTCAATGCATTTGAACGGTTGAACTCACTATGCGCGAACGCTAGAATGGCGCACAGAGTTTAAAATTAAAACCCCAACTGAAATGATAAAAAAGGATACACACAGCGAAAGAGAAATAGAAAGAGAGAGAGAGAGAGAGAGAGAGAGAGGAATTGTAATGAATATGCTTTTGTTTTCATGCTCGTCAAACATACGTCCATATATCGCATGGTGTGTGTATTGCCTGAAAAAACGCGCTGCCTGGCAAAACTAATCCTGTACGACTTTGACCTATAAATTTTAGTGACGAATGATGATGATGTTGGAGACTGCTCGATTTTGATTTGCCTCTTTCACGTTCATTTTTGCAATTGTTTTGGTTTTTGTATCAGTCAAAAAAAAATTTAAATTGATACTATATTCAAAATGATGTACAACTTACGCGCGAGAGGGCAGTTCGGTGTTTTATCATTTGCATGCAGCGCCTGTTGGAATTTGTGTGGATTTTTCTGTGCGCTTGCATCGGTGTGTGACCGCGAAAACTTTTTCCATTTGCTAATGGATAGAGCCGTATTCCTTTTAATTTTGCTGCCAATATCATGTTTTTTGCGTTGTTTTGTTTAGTATTGTTTATGCCCATCTCCCACTCTCTCTTTATCCCACACATACATACACTGCGCGAAACGAGGTTGTCAGAATCATCAACATGAAGTTGTAAACGAGCGAATTCCAACCAGGGTTGGACATTTCGTAAAATTTTCTCCACATATCACCAACTGAGTGCAGAAAATTTTGTTGGAATTCGCTCGTTTACAACTTCATGTTGGTGATTCTGACAACCTTATTTCTCTCTGTGTATACATATTAAGTGTGTTTAGCGCAAAAACTCACAGGCAGCACGAAGCACACCAGCATTGCATAAATTATGTGTACTGCATGTGACCTACAGGAACATGTAGCAACATCAATCTTCCGATTGGAATTACGTTATTTTTTCGGCTGCCTGCTATCCCCGAGTTCGTGCGCAGCAAATTGAATTGAACAATAAGTGACGTTGTATCGATTTGGGCACAATATGTTGGTTTTTATTTTACTTTCGCTCTTATTTCGGCTCCAGCATACTTTTCCGATGGAACGTGATGCTGACAGAAACAATGTGCTTCTAACAGCTTTAAATCACGAAACTTTTCATCGATGAAAATTGAAATTTGCTCGGTTGTGGAATAGATGGTAACGTGCTTGTATCAGTCATCACAGGTATATTTGGTGTTGTGTGTGCTCACGCATAACAATGACTTGCCTTATCCACAGTCAGAGAGCGGAAAAAATTGTGAGCGCCAAAGAAATCGACAAAAGTGTTAAAATATTTATGATTATTGTCAGTTATTTTTTCGGTTCCATAAACTAGAGACTCGAATGCACGGGTGAAAAAGAGCACGAACAAACGAACGTGCGATGTGTTTCAGTTTGATAATTGATGTTGCACAGTGGCACACCATCCCTCCAAGTATAAAGTTCAACAGTCGATCGTGATACGTGAGCTCTTTGCATCAAATTCGGAGAGATGAAAGATTTGCCCAGGCAAATGGAATGAAAAGTAAAAAACAAAGCCCTCCCTAAAAAAGCTTTATCGTTTTTCATAATGGAGTTTGTTTTTTGTGTATTCGTTCGCATATATACACACTAGGGGTTTCACGCAACTTAAAATTCATCTAAAATTTCAATATTTCTTTCTTTTCTCTCACATTCTCTAGGATTCACCAAAGTCCGTATTATTTCGAAATATTTCAACATTCACCTTGAAAATTATGTTCTGGAAGTGAGTTTTTGAGGATCCTCATGATCGTTCAAAACTGTTCCCGGTTCTGGAAGTGGGTTTTGGTGGATCTTCAGGATGGATCAGATTGGGTTTGACAATGCCCTGGTCCATCCTGAGGATCAACTTCCAGAACCAGGAGCGGTTTTGAACAATCCTGAGGATCCACCAAAACCCACTTCCAGAATTTTTAGATTCAAAATTTCCAGCTATTTAGTAAAATGTGCTCAGTAACGAACAAGAACGTTCAAGTTTCGGCAACGTTGCATTATAGCGATTATGAATGAACGTAATGAGAAATGTAGCAAGAAATTACGTTCATTCATAATCACTAGTGAAGCCACGTTGCCAAAACATGTACGTTCTTGTTTCCTTACTGCGCACTTCTTTTCTACGGTGAAGCAGACTGCTTTGTTGATGTGTATAACAATACGGGTAAAACACCGGCGCTCCGAGGTTTTCATACAAACTTCCCATGTAGACGATCGGAAACAGGCAAAAATCGAAAAAAAAGTTAAATTTTTTTTTTCGATTCTCATAGAGTATTTCATGTGCCCAATCCAATGGTGTTATCGGCACATCGAAATTCGCGCTCATTATCACTTAATTTTCACTCTGAAGTCAAATCACAACCAAAACCACCATTACAATGAATCATCATTCCAATGGGCTTGAAAGTGTATCGAACATTTTTACTTCAATTAAAGTGAAACACGATTCCACAGATATTTTACGATTCACTTACAAGCGAACAGAATTTATGTTGTACTTTTAAAAATCAAGAATATTGTGTTACGGTTATCCATAAGTGGTTCAACTTTAGTCATTTTTATTCTCGACCACTCATTTGCACTGGTTTGATTTTTCTCCCATTTTTCTTCTTCTATTTTCCCCTATGCTTACACTTGCAAAAAGTAACAAAAATAAATACAAAAGTTACCTCAACTACTGTCTCCTCTCTCACTTGATTTCGCATTCAATGTGTTAATATACATGAATATACATTTCACTTATTAAAGTCATGTTCGTGCAACACAAATCAAAACAAACCACTTTAACTGAATTCGGTGAACGCGCGCGCTGTATACATATTTGATAGCAATGTTTATTTATGACGAGTAACTGATGCATTGAAGTCAAGCTCATGAGCACTCACTGTTCCTCTCTCTCTCTCTCTGCTCCCCGTGTTCGTTCACAGTAGTGGTGTTTTGTGGCGGTTCATGTGTGATAGAGTGCAATTGGATGCGGATGAAGCACCAATTAGGTGTTCGTATGGACAAAATTCACATTTATCATGCTGAAAAATCATATTTTTATCCCTTCTGCCTTTTTTTCCATCTGCCTCTGCTTCTTGTGTAGAGAGAGAGAGAGAGAGAGAGAGAAAGAGAGAGAGAGAGAGAGAGAGAGAGAGAGCATATAAACTTCAGTTCATCATCATTTTGAAAAATGTGCCATCCGTTTTTAGCACAAATTCAGGGAAAATGGTGGTTAACCTTCAACAGCTTTGTCTTTGTTTTGCTTTTTGCTTATGGTTATGCTTGTTCTGTCATTTTTCATTGCATGTGCATGTGGATGTGTATGGCTCACCTCATTCGAGTCGAGATGGAAAGCGGGCGGGCGTTTGTTCGACTATTGTTCGATTGGAGGTGCTGAAGTGGAGCAAAAGTAAACAAACTTTAGCATCAAGTTCTTCAAGCCACACAGCCGAACCAAAACTAAGATGAACCATTCCGATTTCGTACGTGTGGCAGTCGTTAATTTGTAGAAATGATGACACATTTATCTTGTGCACAGCACACAATGGAGGTGCATTTATTTATTAATTGCGTGACAAACCCAAATTTACACACACCGAAGCGATATTTCCATTAAATTACACGTGAACTACCGAAGCGTCGATCTATAGCAAGTGCGAATTTTATCCAGTATCAAGTAGACGATATCATCAATCTATCACATTTATGGGGAAAGAAGTTTTCCACTAGTATATTTATCGTTTACTTCCTCAGCGTGTGCGTGCTGCTGTAGATGATAAAACCACCGCGGTGAGGTTATTATAATCTCTCTACCGGAATAGATTTATAAGATGTGCTTACGCATTTAATGGAATTGCATGTACAGGCACCCATCTTACCTTTAACTTTGAACAGAAGTTCAACATGTGTTTATTCAAAGCTAACGTGTTGACTTTGTTTGGTTCTCACGCCAACCACTGGGAAATGCGCCGTGAAAGGAGTCGACAAGTCAGTTCCATCTCTCAAGAGCCATTCACCACAAATTATAAATTTGAATCAACATTTGTACGAATCGTAGCGCGCTTAGCAAACAAAAGAAACTTTTTTTGGTCAGTGTCGCGAGCAAAGTTTTTTGATTACCGTTGGTCCGAAGTTTTATTGGACAGAAGAACATTTTACGAATGAAGAACGAGAGAAATAAACATTATATTTTTTGTGCACGTGTTTCGAACGAGATTTAAATGATACTTTTGTATTTTCTTTCTCACTTCACTCATACACAGGTCGAACAAATTCAGGCTGAGTACAAGAAATTGGCGTTGGAATTACACCCGGACAAGAACAGCGGTGACAAAGAAGCCGAAGCAAAATTCCAAAAAATCCAGGTAATTGATCACGGAATTGCTTTTTTTTTTGTTAAACGAACAGTCAGTTTGACCACGGAGGTTTTTCATTAAATTACGGATCTAAAATTCATGTGGTTGCCATTTGATTTCAACAATTACACCAAAGATTGACCAACGGCGTTTTTTGACTCTTTCGATTTTTCACTTTTTGTTAACACACTCACCAAAATTCATTTCTATGTGCTAGTGTATGTGGCTGTATCATTCTGGAGACCAGATTCACAGGGCATCTAGGTGGTGCGCTTGTAAATGTGAGTGGGAGTAAATTCACATTAACAATACATAACCATGTAATTCGAAAGTTGAATTACTTATGGTCATAATGAAATCATTTATGTTGGTCGACCTCGATGTTGCGGCTCTCCAGTTCCCTTATTTCGTTCGGTCACTCACACTCTTGTTGGCAGCTGTTGGTGAATCCTTTTTGGTTTGATGTTTTTCTTGTTTTCGCTCTTTTTTCTCGTTTCAATGGCTTGATATCAATGCGGAATAGAAGAGCACGAAAGTGAAAGTGGATACGCTCGGCTGAGGTTTACAGACAATGCCTTTTTTATTGGAATATTACATGAAGCATTAAATTGAAAACCATATGCTATCTACTGACATACCGATAACAATGACTGAGACGCACACAAAAGAGGATCATCATGGAATGCTCATTTGAAAGCCTTAGATCCGATATGGACCAAATGTAAAAATGTGTTGAGGTTGAGATTGTTTATGTGTGTGTGTGTGTGTGGGAGCAAAGTGAGACTATAACCGAAATGTACGCGCAACGCAAAATTATACATGGTCAATCATTTCTATTGTTACTGCTGCCGCATATCTTTTTCCATTTATGCTGTCTCACAGTTCGTTGAGTGTTGAGCAGTTGGTCGGTGGTTATCGTTTGCATGCGATGAAAAGAATTGCTATAGCACAGACTGATTCTTTCATGAAAATTAATTTTTCGGTTTGAACATTTTTTCTAATTACCGAAAAACCGTGACGAGTTTATCTGTCGCCGGTTGTCAGTGATAGTGCTTCTGTTGGCTCTGTCTCATGATATCACTACGCCACTCTCTCCGCGTGTGCTTTCCGTTAAATAGAATTAATGAGTGCGATGAAAATCAGTTAACTATTCAAAATGGCAGCCAACCACATCAAATGCTATGAACGGTCAAAGAATTTAATTTACACCACCGGGAAAATGCCCTTTGAATGCAACCTCTGCGCGAAAAAATAAAAAATTGGAATGACGAAAAAAGAAAAGAAAAATAAAGTACCGAGTATCAGTAATTTTAATGCTGCTAATGAAAAAAAGCTGTCGATTCTTTCACTATTTTATGGCTCGAACGAAATAAAAAAAACATTCTAGCCATACTTGCGCCATTGCTATTGTTTCCGTTGCGCGGTTGTTGAGCATCGGTGCTCTTTTTACTCTCATAAAATACAGCAAATGCCACTTAAAAATTCCGAATAGCATTAACTCCATTGTTTTTGTCTTGCGCTTGATTTCCTATTCACTTTGAAGCTTTCTTTTCTGTCGTCAAGTAAATTAAATTTGGTGAAGGTTCCGTAAAGTAATATTATTGCAAAGAACCGTTAACAAGATAGAGAGCAGTGCAAAAGGAGAAAGATCTTTCTGTTCAAAAGAATACATACCATGGCCGAATGAGCGGCATGAAAGTAAAATGGACCCCAAAAGAATCGAGTTGACAGTGGTGGAGCAAAAAAAAGGGACAACATAAACAACATTTGGCAGAGTGTCACGTGATGTGCGTAACAACATAAGAACGAATGAAATGCGAAACATTGCTCAATGTCATTGCCAAAGTATTTGCGAACGATACACAGCTATACAGCATCGAGTTCCACTACAAACCAGTAAATAAGTTGAATTTGAATTTTAAATTTATCATAAAAAAAATTGCCAACGATCAAATTAAATAAGTAGATTAAATTCAGTTGTGGGGTTTCAAACATCTGGTTGACACAAGCAAACCAGACGCCAAAGGGAAGAAAGAATACTATATAGACAAAAAAAATTACCATTAAAATGGCAAGTTCCAAAAATTCGTAATGAATATTAAATTAGCACCGAAAAACTGTTCGATAGAGAGCTTAAATTGTGGTATGTGTGTGTGTGGTACGGAAGGCATGTGCGATGAAGAGTTTGGTTTGTGCTCTTTTGTTTGCCAATCTTTTATGTCGAGAACAATATTGTCAGTGGCATGGTCGATGCAAAAGCTCATGAAAATCAAGCAATTAGATTGAGCATTCAAATTGCAATACAGACAGAAGCTTCGCCTCATCAATCGTTGTGATGTTGGTATTTTCCTCATACTTGTGATCATAATTGGAAAAGGTAATTCAAATAGGAAAAAATGTAAATAGTCACTTTGTTGGAACATATATAGTCGAAATTTTGCGGGTCAGATGTGAATAATGAATTTAAATGACATTTAAAAACACATGTGGAAAATTGGTAAGTTCATGTTCCTTTTTTTCGCTCGATAAAATATTTGTGATGATATTCCACAGCATTTTTTTATCGAGTATATAAACAGTTTATTTGCACAAAGCTATCGAGTCAATGGCATGTAGGAAAAAAAAGTTCAAACAGACATATATGCATGCACACACCACTTCATTACGATGGGGCGGATCAACTCAAAGTCCTTAACATCGACCATTCGCTTTTTTGTCCAACCCATATCAATTCGTTTTTTTTTCTTCTTTTGAACTTTGGCAAACGAGAAAAAACTGCAGCCAACTGAGAATCAAACGGAAATTGATTTATTGATTTAGGCCAGTGAATTATTTCGCATTTGACCGACGACGACGATCAGCTGCCGATGCTAATTGTGCACAATTAATGTCGGATACGAATGTAATGTACAACAAACGATATCAAATAACAAACGCTCTGAATTCCATATTCCGTTTGATGTTCATGAAAGTGCCGTTGTTTAATGTTCACACAATCGAAACTGCATTTAAAAACGTTCCGATATTGGTTAAAGGGTTGGCTTATGACAAGTGGCATGACATAAAATTGGTTTGTGCATATATTTCGATTTGACACAGAAGAATGTGTGTGAGCCCGTGTTTTTTCTCCATCTCTCTTGTTTGCGTCCTGTGCACGAATGATTTTGCCACTGAAAACGCACTCATCAAGCGAGGAATGTATGTGCCGAAGAGGGAGAATGTTCTACGCAAATAACACGGATTTATCGTCTTGAGATCTCAATTGCCATCAGAACCATTGCAATGACAATACATATTGGATTCTGTGACAATTTGAATGGCAGTTCTCAAATTCACAGCATAGTTTTCACGGTTGAAAGAAGCGATGAAAAAAGAGTGCGAATTAAATGGTATCCATTCGAACTATACACTCTGATGGGTGAACGAATATGTAAATGGCGGTGGCTTTGCCTTTTGGCCTGCCAAGCAAATTACGCTTGGATTGAATTTTAATGAAAGTCTGCTAATCAATCCATTGACGAATGCTCATTATGATTTTTGCTGTCGCTCTCTCTCCCTGTCTTTCTCCGTTTCGCTCTGTTGCTGTCAGTGCGTTGAGAATTGTTGTTGCAGCAAACAAATGAACAGTCAACGAACACAAGTGATAATATCGCGCTTAATGGAACAAGTTTATGTGTACATTTCTCATTTGTTGCTTTCTTTTCGACGATTTTCGAAAAAAGAAATGAGCAAAGGACTCCGAAGACAGATCATTAAATATAATTGGAAAAATTCACCTACACACAAAACATTTCACTCACAGTAACTTTTCTTCCCTAGCCGCGCGCAACCGACCCTCTGCCTGTCATTTCGTTCAACTGCTGTTTCACTTCCACTCTTCGACTTGTTGAGATAAACAAAAACGCAAGTGAAAGGAGAAGAACAATAAGAAGAAGGGCGGCAAAGATGAGTGAGATGAAAGGATTTAGTCCATTTACCTTGTCGAACGGAAAATAAAATGGGATAAAGCAACAAAAAAAAACCCTCTGTTGAACGCACACTTTGAGAGAGGAAAAAAAGGGAAGAAAAAGCAAAAGTGTGTTGGTTTTATAATTGAGGCGCCTATTTCTCCGTTTAATTACAAACGCAAAAAGTTGCTACGAGATTGATACGGAGAGAAGAAAAATCTACGTACAAGTACGGATTTAATGGTATTATTCGAATTAAAATTACGGATCACATTCAGTTTTACCGTCAATGACGAACGATGTAGCAACAACAAACAAACACAAACCTTCTACTTCATATTTGATCCCGTGAGCATAAAAACGACTTATTAAACAATCGCCGAACAAAACGATACAAGAAAAAACTACCAAACAAAACACACGTTAAAAAACGTAACACAGCAGGACGGTACCGTTCAAAACGAAACTCCGCTGTGCTACACATTACCGCTGTGGTACGTTTTGTTCGGTAGTTTTTTCTTGTATCGTTTTGTTCGGCGATTGTTTAATAAGTCGTTTTTATGCTCACGGGTTCATTTGTTCTGTGACAAAACTATCACCCAATTTATCGGCATGAAATGAGACAATATTTCCGCATATCTCCATGGTTGATTTGGACATGTATGCCAAATGATTTCTCGGAAATTCACTTCATTTCGATGTGGTTCTAGTTCGTTTTTTGTCAATGTGGTTCGGTGTATCATGGCCATCATCACAAAATCAACATATCAACTCACTATCATGCATTGGCTCTATATCAATGTATATATCTCCCTCCCACCCTCTCTTCTCTCCATTCCTATCGCAAAAACATCATTAGTTTTTCCAATCCGAAATTGACTCAAGGCAGGCATCAGTCACACTACTTTGCGGTGCTGAATCCAATTTGAACGTAGGCACACGAAAAATGTGATTCTTATCGTCCCAAGAATGCTACTCATCAATGTGTGTATGCGAAATGTGTTTACATGGGATAATGTTTGATTAGTACTCGATATATTTTCGAGTTGATTGTGTTATGAATAGAATGTGTAACATCATTCTGTCTCGAGGGCATATCAAACGAATTTCGAGCTCTGTTCGAGAAAATTAACTGGCAACTGACGCGTATCACACTCACACTGTGATGGTTGACATTACAGAACGAACGAAAATTAAATGACTAAACACACTACTCTCGAACGAAAATCAGAAAACGGAGCATAGAAAGCGAAACAAGAAAAAAAACACGAGCTCAAAGCCATAGAAGGAAATTCGTTTTTCTGAATTGTTGGAAATTGAATTTCCGCATTATTGGAATGGAAAATTTAATAAATAGTTTTTTTTTGAGTTCATTCTCTCATTTGTACGTGTTCATTTGATTTCAGGATGCCAAAGAGACTCTGCTCGATCCAGCAAAACGTGCCAATTACGACAAATGGCGAAACAGTGGCATCAAAATCAGTTACAAAAACTGGCTAGGCATGAAGGAGCACGTGCACCAGGTAATCCACATTTAAAATCCATACATTGTATTTGCTCATTAAAGTTTGGCGAAGAGAAAAAGTTGCCTAAAATGTTCATCATTTGAACTTTATGTGCTTCGTGAGCGGTATTCTTACTTGCGAACGATTCAGCATTTTCTTGCATATTCGAATAATTCATTTGTGAACCGTCTAATGGCATGGATTTATATTTGCAGTTTTATTTCTTTATAATTTTACTTAATTCTGCAATAAGCTAAAAATAGACGCGTATGTGATTATTGGCGACGTCAACGGGAGGCGGCAGTTGTTTCTCAGAAACGACGCAGCACAATTTTCAAGTTCCACTTCACCTTAAGTCATCACTTTGTATATATGAGTATGGGCTTTGTTTCGTATCGTGCCGTTACAAATCCTCCCTTTTCTTTACCTGCACACGTGCGTTGCAAATTATCGCTTTTGCATATATATACATATATATCCATTTCATACGCATCAACTGCTGGGGGAAGCATATTGCCTTCGCGCAAATACATTATTAACATACAACTTAATTCGTTGTTATGGTGCCATTGCGAGAGCGCATTTCAAGCATCAACCAATGCGATACAAAAGCGCTGAATTGGCGTTGTGTTTCACATCCGACGGCGAACACAATGCAAATTCATAATTCCAGCAATTCACCAACGTTGTACATACTTGATAGAAACAAGTGTGCAAATTCCAATGCTGCTTTGTTTCACATCATATCGAATCGCACCTAGCACGGTTTCAAGGTTAGATGTGTTTAGCGGCCGCCGGTGCTTCTCTCCACACCACGGGCCCATCTCATGATTACTACTTACAAAGTATTCTAAATTAGTCAAATGATAAGACGCTTTCCGCACTCAATACCGGTTATTACTTTCTCATCAGAGCCAAGCCGAGCACTGAGCCTTATTTATATTATTTACATTTCGATGATTTGTGAGCACATTTAAATAAGCATCTGTGACCGACGAACATAATTCGTGTTAAGCTCACTCACACTGACTCACACACACATACATCACATTTCGAAACTAGCCAAGTGAAAATTTACGACGATGATTTTCATGAACAAAAGATGATTGTGATATACACACACTATATCCCAATGAATAGCATCAATAATGAAGCACTGAGCTTAGTGATTATAAATTGCATATATCCGTAAGAGAGTATTAGAGACTCGAATCAAATTGACACAATGCAGAAAGACTAACCGGCTGAAATCGTATGATCCCGTTGGAAATGCCGTGTATTAAATAAATGAACGGTGCACATAGCACATCGAAACAGTGGGCAAACATTTAGTAAACACCACACAATTGTGGTCTAAGTCATTCAATACGCTTAAAATAGGTCATCACGATATTAAATCCAGCCACAGTGCTGTGAAGCACGTTTGTGCATGCAGCACATCGTCAACATCTCATCCCATTCCATTCCATTGTTCTAATGCATATCGGCAGCAGAAGCTTTTTCCAACTCCGTTAACTGTTGCTTCTCTCACTCACTCACTCACTCACTCACTCACCCATTTCGTGTTGTGCCGTTGTTTTGTGCTGGATGCTGTATCTTTTTTTACTCTGCATTTTCGCTTTCAATTTCACTGAATGATTGATTCCAGTCCAATTATTTTTCTTCCGCCTGTTGCTCCTCAAATTGGATTCGTCAAAGGATAGACGATACACACAAACACAGCAACAGTTCATTATGATATTCGATTAATTGATAATTGTGGTTATGTATATCATTTTTTTTCTGTTTTGTTTCTGTGTTTTTTTTCTGTAGTCAATGCACTGGGCCACACCAAAAACCAAGGACCGCATGTTGCCGGATCAGCAAGGAGTCTCATCAAACTCAAGCGGTTTATCAGCTGGTCAACCGAATCCAGCTCATCGTCGTGCATCAGAAGGCGGTGCTGCATTGTATTTCGGTAATCGCAAAGCCGAATGGGGCACGGAAAATTCCGATGTCGCCAACAAATTTCGTAATTATGAAATTTAAATCATTTCTCACTCTCAGCTCAACAAACAATTTTCTCACATTTGCCAACCATATCTAATTTTTTTTTTTTTTGGTTGGGCTGTCTAATTACAAAATGCACATCAACTTTTATTGCAAATCACATAGACTCACACACACAAACACCTACTCATTTTCGGTTCGGATTACATAATATTATTAAATATTATTATTGATGGGCCACGTGAGAGATAGAGAGACAAAAAACACATATATAGAATAACAGCAGCGTAAAATTTAATTAAGTTGTACGCAACTTGATCAATATTCCAATCAAGTTAACCGTGGTCATCGTTTTCATTTTCAGTCTCACTCAATTCAAATACACATTATAACAGCGAAACAAAACGGTTTCGTACTGAATTCAACAACAATCCAATACATGAAAAAAATATTTTCCAAATGTTTACACGAAAACCATGGACAGACAAAAAAAAACATACACATTCATTCACGATAAATCTCAATCAAGAGAAACATACAAACATACAAACAGGCAAAAGGAAAACAAAGAGGGAGGCAAATAATTGTCATTTAACATTTATGAGACAAAAACAAAGAGAAAAAAAAAACATAAAAAAAATTATGAACGTTCTATGTGTTAACAACTGTTTAAATTATTAAACTATTTATCAGAGATACAAGTGCTATATAAAAAAAACAAGAAAATAGAAAAAACCACTTGAAATGAATTTAATGTCATGTTGCATGTTGCATCCCCCATAAATATTTAATAAGTGTTCAAAGATTATATTGCAGTCACAAAAGCTCGCATATATTTAAAAAAAAATGATAACAAGAAAATGTATTTTTAGTGAATAGCACAATAAAGTGAAAAAAAATATTATGAAGTGAACAACACGCAATGCTTGGAAACTGACTTATGTAAACCAGAAGAAAATTCGTAGATTTGCTGCTCGAACAATTTTCAATCAAAATTGTCATTTATGTTTTATTTTTCTTGCGATTTTCCAACTATTTTCGCGTCAGTTATGAAATTTAAATACAAAGAAAAAAAAATGAACAACTTTTTGATCTGAGGACCATGAATCTATTGTCGAATTTAAAATATGAGAATTTTCTTCGTTATTTTTCGTTTCTGGTAAAACTTTGTCCTTAAAATGCAAAATGATTGTCACAAAAGTAAAATGGCATTTTTTTTGTTCTTCTCACAAAAACAAAATTGAAAAAAACAAAATTAGTTTGACAATAACGTTTGAATGGATGAAATCAAGCATGCACTATTCATTTGAATGAATTTGATCAAACAGTCGTGATTACAAATCGCATTGGAAAAATGCCATTTTGCTTTCAAATCGCTTTGATGGTTGCGTGAACTTTTTCGATATTACGAATCTAAAATGCAAAGAAAATGAACTAAAAAAAAAAGTCAAAATAAAAACGAACAACAGAAAAAACTGCTCAGCTCTTCTTCGAACAACAACAACAACAACCATTTTCCTTTGCCACAAATCGAAAGCTCAAGAATCATCAACGCGCAAAATTCTCAACATTTTAAATTCGAATAATTCGCGTCACAAAATGGATAAATTCAGATTATTTTGACAAAAAAAAGTCAACAGAAAAACTTAGTTTTTAACATTTGAGTCCCCATTTTATTGCAATTCGTATTGATATTTGTAATTGCACTCACAAGCACACAAACACTCTATAAAACTAGAGAAAAGTAAAGAGAAGAAAAAAACATTAAAAGAAAAAACTACTGATGTCAATCCTTGTCATATTAGATGTTTGATAAAAATTAAATGTGTGAACACATAGTAAGATATCCATTCGCCTGGCTCAACCGAGCAGCTAATAAACAGAAACGAAAAACTTTCCTTGCTCTACTTTTACTTCTTACTATATAATTTGAAAAGAAATGGAACACACACACACACACACAGTTGAACATGGTCCCTCGATCTGATATTGATTTTTTTGATTCACCGTGTTCAGTACACCCTTTCAATCCGAATTTCAATGTTCTGCATGTGAATTGGGTTTGTAAATCGCTGGATTTGTGTGCACCATCAGTGTGACCACAAACAATGCACTTCCACTTAAATTCGACCGAACTGTTTTCGAATGCGTTTGAATATCAATTCGGTTTTTTTTTTCTCTTTTGGCCATCAATAACCAAAACATGAACCATTCAATCAACAACAACCCACACATGGAACATTTTAAACGATAAAGACTTAATATTTAAAGAAAAAACCAAAAAAAAAATTTAACACTAAAATGATATAAATACATTTGTTAAATTACCTGGAGAGAGCTTATTTTTTGTCGATTAAGATGCCAATGAACGACCAATGACCAATATTGAACGATTATTGAGAAATTAACTTCTCCAACCACTGAACACAATAAATCCGCAACAAACCGAACCGAACCGAATCGTATCAAACAGAATAAGACCCACATTTATTTCTTCATCCTTCAATCCCTAGATCTCCCTCTATTTATATACATAATTTTGTAACTATATACCCTTGAATGAACAAACAAAGAAATTATAAGGGAATATCTGTAAACATGGACAAGCAAAACTCTTCCAAATATTTACGATAACATTTCAAAACCATTTTATTGATGAATGCCAATCAGCTACCATTCACGAACAATGGATCTTTATTACACTTTGATGAAAACATAACAAAATGAACAACAATAACAGCAAACAATATATACATATTTTTAATGTAAAGTCCATAGAAGGAACAACAAAAAAAAACAGAGGAAAAAACACTTTCATACATATTCTACTATGTGTGCATATTACGTAACCTCTACATAATATTTATTGGACGATTTAATGCACACCATTGCCAGAATGAACATGGATGCAACACACAATTTATTTATCTATGTATATTTATGTGATACAAAACACATTCCACTAAATATATTTAAAGAAAAAAACTATTACCTGTATGTTGAATGTAAATTTATTGTATTTTCGAATATTTAAATAAATGAAAGATTCAAATTACCACACACAACCAAACACACAGCGAGCAATGTTTTTTTTTCTAATTTAAAATTAATATCGTTTATTACTGGGTCAACTCAACGTGTGAAGGCTGAAGAGGGAATCATCAGTCGAACGGATCCAAAATCAAATATTAAACAAGTTTAAAATTCCATGTTTATTTTCTTTTTATTTCGATTTTTTTTTATGGAAATTATTCTATGCAAAACATTTTAAAGAGCTAAAGAGGAGAGAAAAAAAAAATCATCAAACAGACAAATGTAAATTCATTTTCGGTGTTATTAACATTATGGACAATTTATGGTTGTTGTTGAGCAACGACGGAAAAATGCATTCTTTTTTTCAGCGCAATGGTTGAGAATGATTTCGAAGAATTGATTGATTTGGATCGATGCTATTGTTCATCTTTATCGAGTCCACATGGCCGGAGGAATTCCTGACCAACAACATGCAACCATTTATTGCAAACCCATTTTGAGCCGGTTAGCACGGGGCAAGCCGCATGCCGTGTCAAATAATTACCATCTCCGGATGGGTACAAATTAAGCCAAAACGCTGCCGAACCTTTCCGTGGCCACAACGCTATATTAATTTGTGTAAATACTGTGGCACCACCTTGTGATACATCGCTCATCTGAAAATTGAACACAAAAAAAACACAAGAAAAGGATAATGAATATTGGACGAAAAGATGAAGAGAATGAAAAAAATGGTTTGTTTTTGAGTCTTCCCAAGTCAATATTTACGCAAAGAGTGAAAAGATAATAGGCAAAAGAAAATGTTACTCACATAGAAAAGGACGGTAGCAATGCGGTTGCCAGTTCCGAGTGAAGCGAATGCATTTACCTCTTCTGCACGTGCAAAATCGAAATGTGGCTCATAATGACCGCCAATACCATAATTAACCACTTGTAGATCTTCGGCTGTGGTCACCGTCAAACCGGTCATATCTTCAACACGCAATCCAATCGTTCGTACAACGTCATCGTCAATATCTTTAAGCCAAGCCGATTTGCTTATTCGGTACGTAGCCACTTCCAGTTCACCGGTTTTGTGGTTTTGAACAGTGGCTCGGCGGAACTGCAATTATACATGTGATAAATTATTTATTTTTCCACTTTCACTATCTATTTCGCCCTCTCGATAAAACCTCTTAAGCGCTACTACAATTCGGCTCGAAATGGATCAATTTAAATATAAAGTTTATTTACCCGTGGTTTTGCCATTTGTTTAATCAGTTCAATTTCACGGTCGTATATCACATCATGATAAACTACAATGTATGGTGTTAGACTAGCCTCTTCTAATTTTAGTGGTGCAATTTTCAAAAATGGTGATTTATTTGTTACATATCGACATTTTAATTTGGATAGAAATTTGGCGTCCGGCTTTATTTCACCGCGACACAATTTCTCGTAATTTTTACGCTCTTCCGACGTATAAATCGCAGTTTGTACAGTATTTGCTTGGTCATAATCCAGGTCGGGTGAGCCATCATCACCGCGTAGCATCTTGTCGGCTTTTGCTTCCGTTTCTTTGGCCAATTCTTTTTCGTAAAATATCTTATTTCCAGAGGCTCGTTCATGGTTGGGCACCAAATTCAGCAATTCGTTTGTCATTTCCAAAGCCGTAGGAATGTCGCCTGTAATGATTTTTAATTGACACATTTTCCACTTAGGTGAGCACGTTTCATTTGTGTGAAAGATTTTATGCTGTTATGACGTTACGATCACACACACACACACGCAACAATCATTTCACACAGAAAATAAAAGGTATTAAAAGTTTTCCTTAATCCGATGAATTAACCATACAACTTTCGATTGAATGCAACGTTCGTCGAGAAAGGTTACTCAAATGCTATCGATGCTTATGGCTTGTGTTGTGCAACGAAAACGAAAAACCAAATTGTAAAGTAGCAAAACTTAATGAAAATGACATGTAAGAATTTGACTTGTGCTCGTGCAAAAGATGCTATCTGTCTTCCGATGAATTTATATGAGCTTAACGCATTAAATGTTGCCGTGAAAAATTAATAAGCTTGCAATGGTTTTCGGCTTTTCTTTGCTTGTATATAGTCATAGACTAGCTAGGTATTTGGCGAATGTTGCCTTTTAGTTAGCGTTGCGCTGCAACATTGTTGTTATTTCATTATTATTCTCTCATTTTTTTATTCTGTTGTTGCATTGCTGTTGCTGTTGCTGTTGCTGTTTTTATTATTGAGTGGTTTACGTATGGAATTTAAAAGATTCACCTTTTGGTGACTTCTCACCATTTTCAAATGTGACTTACCTTGTTTGAACACGGAAAACGCTAAATATTCCAAAATGTCAGACTTTGGAACGATCGCTGGGTCGTTGGTATTGTTATTCAATCTAGCCATTGCCTCGTTCATCCACAATAATGTATGGTAATAATCGCTATTCAAATACGATTGCCGTCCCATTTCGAAGCAATCGTGCGACGACATTTGCGAACTAAACACCGTCGGCAAAACATAACGCCGCATCGAGAAGAGAAACAAAAAAGAGAATTGCATAAAATGACAAACGTCTAGCCAATACGCTATACTGTGCAAACACACAGAGTCAAAAATAAAGATAAAACGCTACTTTAATGCTCGTGCCGAATAAAGTGAATGTGAATTGAATGGTTAAAGAAAAACGATCGATTTGACATCGTTATTGTTTCATATTCAGCACCCATTTTAAAATCGATTCTTTTCACTGCATTCGCATTCCGTGTGCGAATGCTCTGTCTCTTAGATTAACACCTCACCTGTATTTGATGCCATTGATTTCACCGCGTGCAATTTCTGCCGTGTCCAATTTATATGTATCCTGAAGACGTGTCAGTGCAACCGCTGCACCGTTTAGATCTTCATCAGACGGGAATTTCAATAGATTTCGGTGTAACGTTACATTTTCCAAGTATTCTGCACCAAAGAAAGTGTTTTTTTTTCAAATGTTTGCATTTAATCATCCGTTTGTGCACACGGATCCAAAGGTGACTTTGTCATTTCATAAATTTATACATATATTTGCACAAAATCAATCAAGAGATAGATGTTTGCAGTCGAGTAATTGAATCAATAACATGATTTACTAACCATTAGCAAGATCGTGCGACATCACCTGTTCGACGATGCTCCAATCGCTGGTCAAACGTTTTGTTAGGAGGTATGCATTGACTGGATTCGATATGTATTTACCTATGTCCCTGGATGCTTCATCATGTTCCCTCTGATATTCGCTGATTCGCCTAATAATTTGGGAAATTTGTATGCGTTGAGTGCACAATATTCAAAAACCCCATAGTATCTTAGTACATACAATGTAGACAAATGCCGACGAAACGGCAACGACGTGTGCGGGCGCACGCATGAACGCATATCGTCACAAGTAAACATGACAACAATAACAACACAATGAACATGACAAACAACAATAATGAATTCAATCAATGACAGAGAAAATCCGATTTCCATTTACATGATAATGAATAACAGATGCGACACGACGACGACGACGAAGACGACGACAACAACGACATCGTCGTCGTTGAACATGAACATATTTGTATTGTATCGTTTTAATGGGAAAAAAGGGCTTTATTACCTTCTTAAGAAATTTAATTTCTTTTCTTGAGCCTCCACATATGCCTCCAAATTGTTTATCAGTACCGCTTCAGTATCCAATAGATCTTCCAATTCAGTGATGGCGGTAAACAGTTCAGCCGCACAAAATCGAATCGATCCAATTGAAATGATGCACGCAATGAATACGATTTGAATTCGTCGGTTGCTTACATTGTTGAACGTCATTTTTCTTTGTATTAAAATTTACACGCGATCTGCTTGCGAAATAAACAAATTGAAATGTGGTTAATTAGATAATTCGAATTGGATGAGCAAACAAAACCGGCAATTGTTGTAACTTCATCTCATAGCAAAACACCCCCCGTGTGTGAGATGTTTTAATGAGAGAGAAAAGGTGTAAATCAAATGAATGAAAATATGCGTCAGAGTTAGATAAATGGAACGAATTTCATGCGTAACTCAGATTGATATGACTAATTTCTTTGGAATATTGTTGACAAAGTTTGCCAAACAACAACATGTCAAATGTCTGCTTTATGTCTTTCAGCTTTGTTTTGGAGTATTTGCACGCGGGCAATAACGACTTAAGCAAAATTGATGATGTTCCCAAGCATCATTAATTTTGCATTCGGTGATGTCTCGTGCTTATCATTGAGTCTATTTGATTGATAGACGCAAACAGTTCGCAAATTGTCTGCTGCGCGACGATATTCGTTTTCATCCCCATCTAAATCTTGGTTATTCGTTAGTTTTTACGTTCAATCTCAATCAACTGGTCGTTCAGAATAACCGAAAAGTGAGCTTCGATTGTGTGGGCTATTATGTTATATTATTCTCACACTTGCACAATCCAACAATTAGACCAGATCCATTACATCAACTGAACGAAAATGCTCAACAATTTTGTTCGACACTTCGAATACTCTGAACATATTTAATTTGAGTAATTATTTAGCGTTTCCATTCGTTAATCAAAAAGAAAAGAAGAAAACAAAAAAAAAACACACAGACGTAAGTCATTTCAACATGTTTGCGTAATTAATATTTTAAGAAATGCATAGTCTAGCATTTGGACTTTGTTTGTAGAATTACATTAGTACGTTCACTCGCTCGTTCGTTCACCTAGAGTTTTCCTTTCATCGACAATTGCAGAAACAAGGAATTTCAAACGCAGCAACATCCGTCGGAATTGTGTCGTCTTTCAATTTAGAAAATGGATTTTCTAATTGCATTTGTGGGATAAAAAGCTTTACAGCGTTAAATTAATTCATTCTATGCGAATCGATATAGAGATGCACAGTGTGCAATGTGCATTGCACACACACACATACACTTTTACACTTTTGACATTTTCTATCTCTAGAATAGAGAAGGTTTACTTCTTCGTTTTGAAAATATCAACAACAAACTGAGTCTTTTTAATTCTAATAATAAAATGAGTCTCTTCTGAGGACGGAAACGTTTCATTTCTATTTTGCAAATATATTTTCCAGTTGACGATCGATTCAAAATTATATTGACACGTTTCATCCAATTTTTTTTTTTTCACAAATGTTCTGTCTTTCTCACAAAGAATGCCAGCGGCCCTGCTTCGCGAACTATTATCACTTTCTTATCGATTTCGTGCTATGTTTTATTTGCTTTTTTACTGCGCTCGTTATAAAGTTGTAATCCGAAACGTGAATGAAATTAAAGAGACCCAAAATGGAAAGATGGAAATTGAATTTTCTGCATAGGTGTAGATACAGATGTATTTTAAAGAGTTTCGGAACATTGAATGTAACAATTCTCTCAATGCTATTAGTGCTATGTTTGTCGTTGCGTTTGTATGACCAAACCAAATTCCAGTACACATTAAAAATACATCAGAGTATTGTCAATGTTGTAAGTGGTCTCAGCATTGAGTTTGAAATCTCGAACAAAATTCAAAATTACAGAATGTTCCTCTTCCTTATGCAAATAATTAAAATGTGCAAAAATATGTACGTTTGTTCCGTTTAAAAATGTTATTTTACCGTCTGGCTAAATAACTTCCGAGAAACTTCGATATAATTCAACTGACTCTAGGCCTAAATGATTAGAATTTCTCGATTTCGTTATTTATATACTGCCAGGAAAGTGCGCCTATTGGCTGAATCATTTTTGAGGTAAGAAACTTTTTGACAATATTTTTTTCCCTTTTATGTGTCATCTCTTCTCAGATGCTGTATTCAAACGAAAAAAAAAGTTTACATATTTCATATCTTAAAGATAGGTTAACTACACTGAACATTTTTATTTGGCAAATATACTTTTTAGTTCGAAATGAAATTGACACATTTCATCTCATTTTTTTTTGTTTATATACGTTCCCTTATTTACAATATTGTTATTCGCTCTATATATTCTGACAGATATTGGAATATTTTGTGCAAAAATACGTAGTGCATTTGTCAGAACAACTACGTGACTTTTTCCGAATTATTTCGTCAGTTTCTTCTTAAATTATTTCATATCATTATTTTAATTCATATCATTTTAGTAAGCAGTATTTGAATTGGAAGAAAAAAGTCAAACAATACTAATTAAACAGTTTAATCAAATACTTCGTTTACAATGCGACGTACTAGTACTCATTCAAAAGAAAAAAACAATCAGCTTATGCTTTGTTGCCGCTTTCGAGCAGCGAAAAAAGTACTTTCATTATCAACGGTTGTTGTCGCAGAAGGAAATCACGTAATCGCAACGTTTCGCTTTCTTCATATATGATCGAAAACTAACCAAAAACATTTTTACTCCCAAATATGTATTTTTTTCTGTTTGCTTTTTAATCTCTTAACGGCGTTTTTCTTTTTAATTTCCTGCTTTTCGTGAGTTGGATTTTTGTTTCACATTTTCTCTGTACTTTTACCATTTTTTCTCATTCGAGAAACAATTTCTTTCGTCCGAAGAGATTTGGATTTTTGATTAGGCTTGAGATTAGACAATGAATGAATGCGTAAAGAACGAATAGAACCAAACGATTGTACAAACGGAAGAGCGAATGACAACTCTTTTTTTTTCTCGAAATTTCAATGGAACTTTCTCGATTCATGCCGGTTTTTGTTCTCATTTTCAGGCTGGAGTGTAATCACATCGAAAGTGAGATGTTATCAAGGTCAATTTAAGAGCTATCATAATGTCGAAACAAAATTTTCGAATTGTATTCATTTTCAATCCACATTGGGTGTGAAACTAGAACCTACATCTAAATCTAAGACCCATCACGACCAAAAAACGCAAACCGAAGACGCACACCTTATTCCAATTGAATTGTTACTGACTTGGATGCTTTTTTCCGTCATATCGTGAATCAATAAATGCAGAATGCATGAAGCATTCTCGGCCCACATGAATCCAGGCATTACAAATGCATTTGACTTTGCATTGACAACTGAAGACTTCTTTAAAAACGGCGATTTTTTCTTGGTTATTGTTGTCTTATTGTAGATATTGCGAAAAATAAGCTTTGTTAATTCAAATTAATCGGCAAACATTTGTCGAATGTGCCAATCAGCGACCGATTTTAAAGACGTGTCAGACTAAACAAACATACGTATACGAAATAAGGGGTTTTAATTGGAGGAAAATTTGATTTTGCAAAATTTTCGATTCGTTATAGCAATTTTAAATACATAGGTGCGCGCACAATTTATATGCTTGATTTGTGAGTAAAATTATTTTGTCCTCATCATATTCCTGCTATTCTTTTGATTTGCATGTTTCTCTCTCTCTCTCTCTCTCTCTCTCTCTCTCTCTCTCTCTCTCTTTTTTTCTCTATGTCTCTCTGTGCACTTTTTCGGTTGCAAATGCCAACTGTGTTCCGTTCTACTTGTCATACATTTTTCTTTTCGCGCATTTCTGTGTTTCGCTAATGCTTGCATTATTAAAATGACTTTAAATTATGATTTAAGGTTAAGTGAAACATAATACCACCCGGCGCAAGCATACGAATACCACAAGTGCCTACGTACATATTTGTTTGGCTTGATTGTTCTCTAGTTTGATGGAAAAAGTTCACATCAGCTTGTTTTTTGTTTTCTTTTTTTTTTGCATACATATTTCGAAATGAAACGCCATGGAAACGAAAGAGCGAGTGAGAGAGAGAAAACCATACACCGTTTTAATTAATTACGAACACCGCGTCGAATCGTGATTCGAAACGTTCTTTCGTGATTCATTTTTTCAACGAAATAACTGATAATCGTCGATAGAAAAAGTACGAAAAAAAACACAATTAATTGAATAAATCCGGCCATGAAACATTAGTGCATTGCGGTTAAATGGTGATGTGCTTCATGAAAATCAACAGCATCGTCACATGTATCTCATCATTATCAGTTCGACACAACAACATCAACAATAATAAATATGTTATAAAATTATATGTGGCCAACGTGATGAATAGTTTGTTCGTTTTTACCCTTTTTTTCTACTCTCAGTGTACAAAGTCATTAGCACTTGCTATTGCGCAACATAAATTATGCACACACAACAAAAACAAAATTAAAAGAGAAACAAACGGCAATAGCAAACAAAAAGAAGAAGAGTGTGGCGTAGCGAAGAGGAGTCAATTGAAATAAAGCGCACAGTGGAAGTATAACAAACGGAATGAAATTTACGCTTGCTAATTAAACTATTCGCATGTTTCTCTTTCATCTGCTCTCTTCATTACCATTGTTCTTGATTAAAATTGAAACTAGAATCGCTAAATTTCATCTGTTGCTTCACGGTGTTGTTTTCTTTCTTTCTTTCTTCTGCACTTCAATTGGGCCCATTGTCACAAGTGCAGCATTGAGAAGAGAAAGAGCTCACACCGCCAAATTGAAGCAGGGCCCCGCAGCAGCTTAGAACAATACCATCAATTAAAACGGTTCAAATGAATATTTGAAATCTCTCTCTAACTCAAGCAACTATACGTTGCCGTTGCTGTTGCTGTTGTTATTGTCGAAAGCAACAAGCAGCCGCTTTGCTTCGATAAACGTTCGACTCTCTCGCGACTAGTTTGCATGTGATCGTTGTTGCTCTACAATTTCCAGTGCTGAATTGTGATAATGTATGGAAATGCGGAAAAATTGTAATATAAAATCATTCCGTTCTACTGTTCCATATCAACATCACTAGCAGCAGCAGCAGCAGTAGCATCATTCATTGAGTGTGGCTTACGAGTGAGAATTTGATGCGTACGTGATACTCCGTAGTACATGGCACACGCACACACTTCCTCGACAACTCGTATCGTCGTATATTGTGTCGCTATGCGCCATACAAGAGATGGCAATGGCTATGTACATACGAACAACAAGAGCAGCAGCAGCAGCAGCAGAAAAAAACGTCGTTCTTTCGTTTTTTGCTCTCATAAACGTTTTAATAAATATTTATCGCATGTTATGTACTCACTGTGCAAGTCGTTGTTTGGTTGCTGCGTTATAATCTCGATTTTGTTCTATGTAATCAGTACACACAGCGTACAACGTGCATCGAGTACACAGAGACAACGTACGTTAGAGAGAGCAAGAGACCAAGAGAGAGAGAGAGAAAGAGAGAAAAAGAAATTGAGCATGCAGAATGAGAACGTTACTCTTTATCATACAGCCAGAATAAAGTATTTGGCATTTGTTCTAGAATATTTTTGGAACGATTTCGTTCGAGAAAAATCGTTAAACTAAGAGGAAATCCGAGTAACGGACGAAAATGCATATATTCCATTTTTCACATGAAACCGTAATTCCTCTGAACGACCACACGTACACACAAACTCACATAAACACCATTTTATAAAGGAAACTTTGTAACTTGGTGAATTTGGGCTACTCTGTTGAAATTCGGCGTTAGCTCTAGAATAACCATTTCAAAACTCTTTTTCTTTTTATTGAGTGATTTGTGTTCACAGTCAAGTTGAAATTAATTAAAACCGATTGATGATTTGAAATGAATTGATGTTTTGATTGTGCCTACCAAATTATTTACACAAAACAGACGGGCAGACAAAGGAAAAACAACAAAATTGCCGGTTGTTTTCTATCAAATATTTGTGGAAATAAATGCGCTTATCGATGGCAATAAAATTTTATTTTAAACATAAACAACAACAGCAAATAAAAACTGAAAAACAAGGAAGTTCAAAGAGAAGAAACACTCACACGAGATATTAACTAAACTAACTTAATCGAGCCGAACACCAAAAGTTAACATTTACGACTAATTGACAGTCCGCACAATACAAAACCATATGATGCCTGTTTCGCGCAGACTCTGTTCGTTTGCTCCTCGCCATCGAGAATGTATGTACACATCAAATTCATGATCCCGTATACATAAATACATGCATAGGATGGTGAGTCGTGTGCTGCACTCACACACTCATTCATTCATCGCACATCACGTAGCATACGCAACAGCAATAACAATGGCAACATCAACATCAACGGCCCAAAATACATAGAACATATAGCAAGTTGAACGAAGCGACTAATTCATTATTTTGTCTTGTTGTGTGTTTCTTTAATTTTGCATTCACACTGATTCCATATCCATTCCTGCCTCAATGTTTGTGTATTTTTATTCCGCATCCGACCGTGTTCAATTGGTGATTTTTTTTTTTTTTTGTATTTATGTATGAAATGCATGTAGCCGGTGAACAAAACAACAACAACAACCCACGCAAACATAAATACACACAGACAGAGACATACACACATCGACAATGCATTTGTGCAGTGTCTGAAATATGCATTTCACCATGGTTGCAATCGATTCAAGCATTAATGCACATACATATATATTCTAAGACTGTCAGTCAATTCAATGGATTTGTATACTATCAGTATAAAGCAGATAAAACCAATGATGTGTAAATTGCTGTGCATGCTTGGTTTTCAAGTTGATTGATTGCCGTTGAATGATTTGAATTTGTTTGTTGAATGTCGGTGACAAGATTCCACAACGATCGATTTCAAGCATTCCAATGTGAGTTGATGTTCACCACACCAGCATACATCATCATGACAGATGAATATGCCTGAGAATCCCTTTTCAAAAGGCTTTCTCAAGTCCTTAACAAACTGAAAACTTTGGTCAAACGATTCGGTTTGCATACATTTGGGCGAAATTTTGTTCTTGCTTCTAAAAGCTTTTTTTTTCTTGAAAAAAAAAAGAATCAACTTCATCCAGACACGGGGAACTTGTAAGAATATTCAGTGTGAAATCAATTTTACAAAATGCAATTCATTTCCTAACGTATTTTCCTGGGATTTTCAAGTGATTTGAAAGAAAAATGCCGAACGTAATTTTGCGGTGCCTTTCAATGCAGGGGCCAATAATAATTCAATTCGAATAGATTGGAAGATGAACGGTTTTGCTGATAAACGGCTTCAACAAAAGGAAATCAACTATTACAATTGAGAAACGAAAAGAAACACGAACGCATAAACACATCCGAAAAAGGCGGAAGTATTTCCTGATAGAAACTTATCTAACTGTCTGACAACCAAATGAACGAACTGAAGAAAAAGTCGGTAGTTTGATTTATTAGTAGCCAACCGCAGCACCGAATCAAAAGTCCGAAGAGAAAGAGATGCAAGGCATAGGGAGAGAGATAAAAGAGAGAGAGAGAGAGGGAGAGAGAGAGAGAGATAGAACAACAAGAATGGTGAAGACATTATTAGAAACACACAAACAGGTCAGAGTCAGAGAGTAAATTTTTCACCAAATTATTAAACATGTCAATACGAAATGTCTTATATAATGCCGACCATAAGCCAATTATGATATCAAACGTACCGACTTTTTGTGATCGGGCGTTTTTTTTCTTCCTCCTTCTTCTTCTTCTTCTTATTTCTCTTTAGTATTTATGATTATTATCATTATATGGGTGTCTTCACAGTCTTTTTGAACGCTGGCCCACCTCAAATTGAGACTATGATGGTTTTCGCTGCAGTCAGTCCATTTCTTCTTTGAATAAACATACCACTTTGCACTGCATTACTGGATGAATGTGCACTAGTACTGTGTGCGAAATAGAGAAAATGCTGCGTGAGAAACAAAAAAAAATGTATGTGGAATGAGCTTAAGTGATATGACCGAATGTGCTCAACTTTTTGAATTGAGTAGATAAAGAATGCACAAATTATTTTGTCGTCTGCATGACGTTTCGACTCTCGTCTGGTTTTGCCGCTAACATCTCTATCGTCTACAATGAAATTAATGATGGTGGTGGGCAGGTACTTTAAGCCAACAGCGACAATGACGACGACGACGACGACGACACTATGCATTTGGGCTAGCTGAAGGCAAATGAATTCAAACATCTATTCGAATTGTGGATTCTGTTCTTGAATTGATGAATTATGATCGATTGCGGTTAATCGATTAGGCAAACACATTTATTCAATCAAAAGAAACCATTGACGATTTTAGTGCGATATTTTTTTTTAATTCTCCGTTTCAATGAAAAGAAGATCAAAAGGCGGCTCCGGCCATACCTGACCTGCTGCATAGTGTTTTTCCCTAGCGTCATCTTCGTCTTCGTTGTCGTCTGAGATGATGAATCATGCCCACTCATCATCCAGAAGAGCAGATGGAAAATAAAAACGGCAGGCATTCAGCAAAGATAGACCTGAAACTGGATAACGATCGCAAAATCCATCAAAAACACAAACGTGGGAACAAACAGTTTCAAGCGATTTATCAGAAGGCGATAATTACATCGTTTGTTTTATCAGTTTGAAATTATGTTTAAATGCAAATAAATTATTGTGCTGTTGTTGCTTTTCTTTTTCTTATTCTCTGAAATTCGAAAACGATCAATTGATTAAAACGTAACAAACGATTTCGTTCATTTCAAATGATTGAATCGATACGCATTTGGTAGCTAAAGTCGCCATAAATACCAGATTACCAGAATACATAAATATTGAATGAATTGTCATGTCGTTTTAATCGAAAATTCCATTCGAAATCGCTTCTTCTTTTATCAATATTGTGTTGATGTCGCTCTTAATTATATGTCATCTGTGTTTTATTTTTCTTCCATCTTAGGAGCGATAAAGCGAGAGAGGGAGAGAAAGAGCAACACGATGCCACCTCCGAAAACATCAACGCTCATCATTTTTCGTCTTCTTTGATCTGGAACATTTTATATGGTGAAAAATGCTGATATCGTAGGTGTATTATTACTAAAAACACGATAAGAATGTGTTAATATCAATATTTTTTCCTTTAAATGAAATGTATTCCGGTGTTGTCGTTTGTGAAATCGCATTAATTAAACGAATGACGTCGGCATTTTGTGATGCTGCACACAAAATCGACCGAGAAATAAAGGTACCGCATTTCTATCGTATACCAACAGAAGCACACTATGGCACTTCCGAATAATTCGTTTTCCATGTTTTAAATACATTGATACATCAACACCAAGATACATTAATCCTCAGATTGAAATTTTCCAGCTCCTTAATCCGATTTTCTTGCAGAATTTCAGACTCGAAGATCATTTTTCGTATGGAAACGCTATGAAATTTTGTGCGACACGAGCAACATTTCAGCGAAAATTCATACGCAATTCGCGATTGGTGTCAAATTTCCATATTTAAAGAATGGTCGATCGAATTGGATGTGAAATGTGACAAAAATGTGAAGCCATGAGGGTAATTTGATTGGGACTTGAAGAAAACAACGTTTCAACATTAGGCACACAAACGCACGCACCATTGTACCGGTATGAGGCCAAGACATTATTAAATGAATGCCCTGTAGAAACACCACCGACTCTCAGTTCTCAGGATTAAAAAAAAACGTACCAACAAAAATAAATCTTCCACCGCAATTTATTCTGATGATGGTAAGATTTGTATATTTTGATATACCAATTGCTTTGACTTCGAATGCAATCGAACCATTCGTTCATTGGGAATTTTACGGGAGGAATAAAAATGCGAGCGGACAAACGAACAAACGAACAAACGAAAAAAAATATATTCAATTAATTATTTCATTAATTATGAAGAACTGCGACAGCCGGCAAATTTCAAACGAACATTGAAGCCGAAAACCTTCACAGCTGAACACCCAACAAATGGAATAAACGAACATTTAAGAAGAAATAAAAATAAAACAACAACAGCAGCAGCAGCAGCAGCAGCAATACCGTGCAACACCACCACAATGTGCAAAGTTTCGACATGATAAAAAAATAGGGAAAAAAGTTAAAATAAAAATATACCGACCAATAGGAATCCATGATATACTCCATCGATTTTTTTTCTATTTGCATGAATTTCTAAATGGCCAAGATAGAGAGAGAGAGAGAGAGGGAGAGAAATAAATACAAACAACGCACACTTCAAAATGCTGAGATGCGCACACGTTCCGAATACATCCGATTCAATCCGATCCGGTGTGATATAGAATGCAAAGGCACTGTGAATGTGAAATAAATCGGTCGGCACAACGGAGCAGAACATATAAAATCGGATATTATAGGAAGCACACAACGTAATATTTTACGTCTCGTTATATTGCCCCTCGATATGGTTTCTTTATAGAAATATCGCGCTGTTCCAACAAAAAATCGTTGTCGAAACATTCAATATGCGATCGATGAGCCGCGGTGTGATGAGCTTTTTTTTTCTACTTGTTTCTCTCGCGCTCTCTGTCTTCATTCGTTGTTCTTTCTGTTTTTTTTTCTTCCCTGTCTTAATTTCTGATCTTGCAGCACCGATGACGAGGCAATTGTGTGCTGTATCGTATATGATTTCCCATCGTTTAATTCAATACTTTTATTCAGTTTCTTCGATTTGCCATCCTTTGGTTGTCTTACGTTCTTCTGTTTTCATCCTTCAAACTCTTGTACATCGTTCTGTTTGGAATGCATTCGCCATTTCGATGTGCCTTATTTTCTCTCTATATATCTCGATGCGCAATCTGGAGACAGCTTGAGCCTAATTAATAGACTTTTAATTATCAAAGTGAAGGCATTGCGCTGCCAACAACCAATTAAAACACGTTCATAATTTATTTTAGTTATGTTCATTTAATAATATCTTGGTATATACGTATAAAGGTTGCAATATACGTTTGTCCTTTACGAAATTCTCCGAGCAGAAAAAAAAACTGAATGTTTCATCGTCTTGATTTTTGGGCAACAGGTGAATCGAAAGTATGAACGATTCGGCTTGGAGAGCATAGCAGGTATG